GGAACTCTAAAAATTGAGTTACTGAGTCATTCTTAATGTTCTTTTTTTGAGCTTCTGTAGCTGTTGTACTAGTCACAATTAAAAATTTCTAGAGAGTCATCTATATTTATTTCCAAAATATTACACAGAATTCAAGTAACAAATTTTATTTTACTATCTTGTGTTTAGAAACCTTTAGTTGAAATTCATAGAGTTATTAACCCTATTTGACATTACACCAACAGTAATGTGAGGTATGCTAATATACAATAGTGCGACAAAATATTTAAGATACAGAGTCAAACATAGGGCTAAATTACTATTTCATTTTAATGATTGTGTGGTCATGTACTTCATCAAGCTTCATGCATAAAAAATAGAGACATTAATTTCTTTTCAATATACCTTTTATAATTCTTTCTATGAAGGCACTTTTTAATGCTCAAGTTCTACAGGACTAATGATTAGCAGTATCTGTTTTATTATATTCTGTCATGTTTTATATGATGGCAAAAGGACGATCATTTCCCAAACTGTAGTTATAAACTATACTTGTTCACCTTGCTTGCATTATGAATCACTTCCATTTCATAGATGAGAAAGAGGAAGTAATAAGTGGTGAACTGGGGTTTTACATGTGGATGATCAATTCTGAATCTAGGCTGCACTTGTGTAAATACTACACACTTAAATTTCAAAACCTAATAGGCAAGTTTCTTTTCCTTTAGCTAACAAAATATATTGGCATATTTTTTGAAAAGACTTAAAACCAAAAAATTCCATTGGAAGTAAATTTTTAAAAGATACATACACTGACCAAGTAGTATAGCATTAAACCTGTTACTTGGATATTAGATTTTCCTTAAGGTAAACAAATCTCATATAAGAAAAATAACTACAAACTTTGGGGAACAATTACAGTTTTTGTATTGATGACATTCTCTTCCCATAGTTTCCATCCTTCTTTCTTGTTGAAATACACTGTATCCCTCAGTGGTACTTACCGCAGTTTGAATTTTCCTTTCAAATTATCCTTGAAAGGAAGGCAAAATTGAGGTTTATAGGCAAAATGTCTACATGAAAATCTTAATTAATGAACATGGGTTCAAATTACCATTCATTTGTGAAACATATCGATAAAATCAGTATGTGGATGTAGGAAAAATTTATATTAACTTTGACAGATGAAGCCAAACTTATGCACTTATGCAAGGACATACAATGGATGTTCCATGTGAATAAAATGTGAAGAGAGAGAACCCTTGTGAATCATCTAGTTGCATTTAACCATTTCATACAGCAAATAATACACTCAGGACTCTATAATTTTTATGAGAAGCACATAATTGTGAGCAGGTTAAACTGAATCTGTATATAGAAATAACTACAGGTTTATACAAAAATTTATATAATGAACTGTAAATCAAACTTATATCAAATATTATACAGTTAAAAATATGTCCCATGTTAAGGGAAATAAAGTTTCTCTGAAAATCAAGTTATATCTAATAATATTAGTATAAAATAGGACTTATAGCTTCAGTATCAGGGATTACTTATTCACTGTGGCTTATGTTGGCTTGGGTTGGGATTTTGTCTTTTTAATTGATATAGTGGTAAAAACATGTAATACATTTAATTAAAATCATGAAAAGATAAAAGTTACTTTACATTTAAAAATAAATTTTTAAAAAATTAGTGTTATTTTTGTGTAGTAATGTCTGTTAAACTAATGGATGGAAGAAACATGTTTATAACTATCATCTGATTCTAATTCTAGCAATCTAGTAAACATAGACCCTAACTCATTTCACAGCCAGTAAAAATGTCTTATTTTTTATTAATAAAAATAAAATGTTCATTGTATCCTTTAAAACTAAATAGATTTCTTTTTTTTTTGTAAAATGGCCTACTAAATTAAAAAGTGAATTAATTTGATTTGTTTACTCAAATATGGGAAAATGTACAGATTACTTGACCAAAACTGATTTAACAAAAATACTGTATTTCTAACTAAACATGAAAAATAAACACTTGGTTTTATTGAGGACTTTTCTGTTTAAATTGGAATAACTGTGGAATAAATGTAGCCTAATACAAGTACATTGGTAGAACAAGAGAAATTATGAATGTTTAGAGTTTACCCACAAACTTCACAATTGGATTCAGCAAGCATTTTAAATAGCTGTGCACTATTTGCCCATGTTAAATGCATTCTCTAAAATTCTGATTACATCAAGAACCCAGATGTACTCCAAGCGACTTTCTGAGTGTCTTCCATTAACACCATTGCAATAACACAGCTTATGTTTAAGGAGTAAGGGGGACTCTTAATCCTAAACAAAAATTAGATTAAGAATAAAGCTGAGCACTTCAAATAATGTTGCTTGAATACATTTGTCTTTGGAAGAGTTGACTCCTTCCTCATTATGTGGCCAAAAAACAATTACATTTTCAGCATCCAAAATTATACATAAGCTATAGGTTTTGTTTAGTGAATACCTATTTCATTTCTTTAAACGTGATTGTGTTAATGATCCTAGAAAGATCAAAAACAATCCCCACCAGTTGTCACTATCAAAATTTAAACATATGATAAAATTGATAACAGATAATTGTTACACTGATTCCAAATATGATCCAAGTCAGAGATATAAAATAATGTCATTAACTAAAGTTCAGTTAGTTTTGTATTTATCAAATAATGTTCCAGATCAATATAAAACATATCAAGTAATCTTTTTGTTATAATATTATCTTAACATTTTAACCAAAATGTATTTATTATACATAAAAATAATAGGAAATACACACAGGTGAATGTATATGTTCTCATAAATATTCTAGTCTGTTGACCCCATTTAAATCTTAATATATTATGAAGCACCTTCAGAAAAAAATTAATATATCTTGGCTAATCACTTAAAATAAACTTTAATAATGTAGAATGAGTTATAATTATTTGCATTTTCTTTTTGTTTTTCTGAATTCTTTCAAAGTGAATGAGTAGTTTTACATATACTAACATTCTTCATTTTTAAACTTAAAATAATGCTTTGGTGTGTACTAAGATATATTAGAAAAAAAGATCTTGTAGCAATAAACAAAATCACATTTCTTAAAAACAGAATGATTTAGTTAAAACATATTTCAGTTCATATTAATTATATAATTTATCAATACTGTGTTTTATATGTTAGAGATGATTGATTTTCTGATGTTGCAGGGAAATGTCTAGAAAAAATAAATTATATTTATGGCTAAAAGCATACATTGATACTTTGACATTAATTTTAAAAAGCAAAATTTATTATATAATAACAAGAATACTGGTTTCAATTTTCCAGTTACTTATTCAAATAGTAATAATAACTTTTTGTCCTAGTGACCCTTAAAATATATGGTTCAGTGTTTTTCAGTCATATTTTGATAACAAAGATTACAAAACCATGCTATTAATACAGATAAGAGCACTTAATTAAATTTTGGAAAAGAATTATGCATTTGGGGCTAGCAATTAAATACAAATTAGAAGAGTTTAAGGAGTTAATCATAAAATACGATATAAATATAACATCTCCTTTTAAGAAAATTGGACTTAAAATGATTCTGGTTTAATTTTTGTTACTAACCCATGAGATCAAATCACTTAATGTATTGTTTCCTTCTTCTTTCTCAAATTATCTAATGACTACACAATCATATTCCAAAAACACTTCCCATGTGTCAGGGAACTCAGTAGTAGAATGTAAGATTGAAAAGAGACAAACCAGACATAACACTTTTACAGAATCATAAAGGTAAAGAACTAATGCACGTTTCCACTAGACTGAGAAATCTGTGGGAAAATCGAGTGGAAGAGCGACAGGGAGTTACTCCGGATGAGTTTACAGCTTATTGTTAGGGTACCAGGCCATGAGTGACAAAGCACGGGATGCTCTCACTGCACGGCTTGCAGAACTGAATTTAAGTAAGAAAATACATTCTTTATAATTATTCCAGTCCACATGATTTGAGCCCAAATCTGACATCTAACTTTCTCTGGCAACAAATTGGTGATATCCCTAAACCCTACAACTTAATAGATGCTAGTTCCTTAAATTGTCCGGGACAGCCTATACTGCTGAAAATAGCATCAACTGCTGTTTCATCTCAACATTTCAGTGAGTTCGATCCTGAAAATTCTTTTTGAAATGTATACTTTAATTTCTCCACTGATACATTCATTTGAGAAAGTTCTGCTATCCTTTTTCATCTACAGTCATCTCGCTATCATACCGTCCCCCAAAAGCTTGCAGAGCAGGGGTACCTGTCAAGTTGAAGTAATAAATTCTCTCGGTTAAAAAGTGTTAAAAATGTAGAATTAATACAGAAATTTCTACATCTTATAACTCCAGATGTGTTGTCTGCTTTTCTCTATAGTCCACTCCATGATCTAAATACAACCAAAACAGATCAAATTTCCCCAAAGAGATAAAACACAACGGGCAACAACAAACAATGAAAATTCCACGAGTTCAATAGAGATAGAAATATAAATAGAAGTGAAAGGCAAATACAATAAATTTTCTTTTAACTCTGCATTGTTTCAACCACAGAGTTCTCGGGGAGTCTCCCAGACCCCATACGCATAGAATACTGATTATATGGAAAGTTTAAAGACCCCCTCTTGGGGGAGAAGTGTTTTCTGACTGCCAAGATTCAAGTTCATCTAATAGTAGTGCTTATGTTAAAAGGCACTGTTTCATGATTAAACTGTTTGTTCATGCCTTTTCATCCATATAGATTTTTATTACTTGGTAAATTATTTTCTAGAATATAGCTGTAAGTAACAATATGCAGTAGTATTAGGTTTCGTATGCACTTTGGGGTAATATGCTGTAGTTTCTCAACACGTGAAATAAGCATGATTGCTGCAACAGCATTTCAATGCTACTCACCAAATTCTTGGTGGAAACACTGCCAAACAACATGAGAATACTACTCCCAATAAATCTATTTATTTCAAAGGAAGCACTTACCTAGCACAGCTCGTAAGGAAATTCTTGGTGAGATAGTCTCAGGATGGAATTTGATTTTCTGTGATTCTCCAGCAGAGATGTAGAGCCAGGCAAGGTGGGGAGGAGTGAAAGCTTACAATGGGATCCTGCAGGCAGGGGCAGCTCCAGGAGGCAGAGCTTGACGGTCCTAAGGCAGGAGGTGACACTGCTGGTGAGAGGAGTTGTTCTGAGTGGATTGGAAGTGTTGTCAGATTGTAAATGATCAGCAGAGAAGGGAAAAATCAGAGCTTCCTGTTACATCACTCCGACCCCGCCTGCAGTTAGTGTTAGGTTACTTTCTTTCTCAAATAGCATACCCCAGGAGAGGAGCAATTCCTTTCTTATTCTGAGACCAGAGCAAGAGGCAGCCTGAACAGACAGAGCTCATGTGCTGCATGAACACTTTGTTAGCAGCAAGAGCTGGCTGGCTTTCACCTTGACTGAGCTCTGTTGGAACTCGCCAAACCAAGCTGCCAGTGACTTGAAGGAAATCTGAATATAAAAGAATCAAAGGCGTGCCTGTGTGTGTGTGTGGGGGGGTGAATTAGTGATTACCAGCATCTAGGAAAAAATTATCTAACATGTCTTTCTTCAAAAATGAGTATGTGAAAAAGCTACATTCGCCAAAATTAGTTCTGTGATCTGACTCACTGATTTGGAGTTCTGGCAAGCAGATTTTATTCTTCATTCAGTTTTCCACAATTAGATCAAGAAACTTTATCCCACAGTCTTTAAATCTTTTTTCATCTGCTTATGACATAATTGTATGGATATTTTCGAATTAGTTTTTGACAGAATTAATATTTTTGATTCATTCATTCATTTGTAGTAGTAAACTCTAGTAAATGAAAAAAATCATGCTTTAGGTTTATATCCTAAAACTCTATCCAAGACTTTCTCCTCTGCAATATAACAAGTGCTATTCCAAATAGGGAGACTAATCGATGCAGTAGTATTTATAGTTGAACTATCGAGTAGATATGTAGGCCTAGGGTTATAGTCCCTTAAGATTCCTGAATAATTTGTACCAATATCATCTCTATAAATTATTTCGAAGGAAAGGGAAAAATACATCTTCAGAATCAGATGGTTGGGAGTGGACATTTTATAGATTTCAGAAGAAATAAATGGTATGAGGACTTTCCGGGAGCTGATATGAGTAGATCAAATTGCATAGGGCCCTGTGAAAAGCTAAGTGAGGGAAACGTCTCAAACACACACTTAAATATGACAACAAATGTTTGCATAACTGTGGCTGCACTTAGAACATTTCAATAACTAGTGAAGTGATTCTGAGTCAATGTGGCATTAATCAAGTGTTACATAGCATATATGTAGGAAGTGTGATCAAAAGTTATTAGGGTAAACTACTCATTGGCATTAATCCCCTTCAGGGTACTCCCCTCATTCCAGACACACCTAACCCTTCATTCTCACTGCTTTCTGAAGCAGATTTGGAATCCTTTTCGTGAGTCTTTAGCTGCCCCCTTCTGGCTGCCTGAATGTCCTGAATCAATTGAAAATGTTTACATTTCATGATCATTTTGACTTTGTGAAAGAACTGTAAGTCCCACGGTGTCAGTTCTGGTGAATAAAGAGGGTGAGGACACACCGTAATGTGTTTACCACTCTGTCTTTCCGTTGGATGGCACTTGGCTGCTGCATTTACCATATTTGTGATCACATCTCATAAGAGACTTAAGAAAGAAGACTTCCAGAACTGCTTTGAGAAGTGGCAAGAACGATGGATATGTGTGTTTGAATCAGGAGGGAGAACACTGAGAGGGATTAATGGCAAGTTGTTTTTTACTATATTTTTAAAATTTAATCGCATATTGTAGTATTTTATCACCCCCTGTATTTATGTATTATAATCCCTATTCAGAGCACACTGAAGCCATCTGCAGTAATTTAAAAAGTAGTGATCAAGCATGAATTCTAAGCTCACCATCAGTTGTTTGAGGGAGCTATAGAAAAATAATCTGTGCCGTGGTACTTAGTCACTGAGGCACAGTGGACTGACTACCTCACAAGGTATCAACAGCTAAATTCTCTGCAATTAGCAGCTGGTGCTGCCAGCACAGTCTAGATGTAACCCAGCAGAGCACTATCAGCAAAGCTTTCCTTAGAAGTGAAGAACAGTGCACAAATGAATAATGATGTTTATGATCAGCAGCCATCTTTGTCTATTTCAGACTTCTGCACCAGACTTCTGCCTCTACTGGGGGCCTGTATGTATGGGACCCAAATAAGGAGTGCAGGTTACCATGTGAAACATGCTTTTCTGCCCAGTTAGGAAGATACTGACTCAGTCTCTGGATTCCTGTTTATATTAATTAAGTTAATTCAGACCAAACTTGGGGATTGATAAATTTAGTTTTCTATCAGCTAAACTGATCACTTTTTAAAATTTTATAATGTGTTTTTCTTCAGGAGAGTCAAATAACATAAGAAGGAATTCACCAAATATTTGCCTACTTTTGAAATCAATTCTTGTTGAGTTCCAATGATTTGGATATCAATTAATATTCATGATTCTTTGAAGGGTAACTCTTGGTTGAATAAACAACCAATACTGGCAAATAACACATGGCAGGTTAATTAAAATTTTATTTTAAAATACGAAAAAATAACGCTTACTTTAAATGGGGGTACAATGTGAACTTTTTAAGAGTAAACAGGTGAGGGTAGAGTAATTATATTTGTCAGTTTCCTAGAGCAGTCTCAAATTATATTTAGTGTTCTAGTTAAGATAAATATCATATATGGTCACCCTGGCATATGTATCTACACTGACAAGTAGCAAATGAATATTGACAGTGAGTAACTTATTTTAGAAATCCCAATCTTTTCCAGAAGAGTTTATAATAATTCTTCCAATTTCTAGGATAGTTTTTGTTCACATTTTGGAAAAGATTATTTTTCATCTCTGGATATGAATTTATTCTGAAATGATTCTTATTTGTAGACTATCAACCTTGATTGTAAAAAATGAAGAGTTTATTTAGATCTGCATTTAGTATCTTATCCTAAATAGCATTTGATTAAATGACCAAGTCATATTTTTCTTAAATAATGTAATCTTTAAGTTCAAAAGATGCCAAGAACCATTAATGTTTTCCATATACCAACAGATAGCTTTTTAAAATTATTGTCATAATGTTTATACAACTTTTAAAAGTTTTAGCAATTTGTATGTTTCTCATTTCAAAAACTCATGGCTATTATTTATCATCACACAATTATATACAGTGCAAATTTTAAAATATAAAGTAATGTGGAAATATATAGACTGCATATGTTAAAAAGTAAAATAATCTATTTGCTTCAGAACTCATGATCTTTGAGAAATCAGCAGAACTTTCTCAGCTTTGAGAAGTTGGTATTTATAGTCTCATCCTGCCATCTAGTGTCAAATATTCTCAACTTAACCAAAGTTCCTTTCCTACCGGAATAAAAATGAAATTTTATCTCTTTTTTAAAGAATCCCAACAACAACTAAGATATCTAAGAGAACATTTCAATAGCTAGAGTTATAATAGGCAGGTGCTTATGGTTAAAGCATCAGTTATGTATAGTTAAACAGTTAAAGCATCAGTTTATGTATAACAAAAGAATATTTGTTTCATAAAATATTAAGTGTAAAGGCAAATAACAGTTAAATTTTAAAACATGATACAAATAAACAACAGAGACTAAAATGGTATACCATCTTTAGTAGTAGTATATATATTCAAAGCTACACAATTCTGACACCCATGGCTAGGCCAAAGTAGCTGAACTCCTACATAGCTGATTAGGGGATACAAATCAGATCTCCAGACAACCAATGCAGCACATGGAGCTCCATAGAGACAGCGCTGGGCAATGGGCACTCTGCACCTCTCTTAGGAAAAACATCTATACAGGGGTGAAGGAGAGCTTAAGAAGCCAGCAGGCAAACTGTTATCAGGTGCAGAGATAGACTCGGAGGAGATGGAAAGGGACCTAAGGATGGAGGGTGGCACAAGCATCAAGATGTGCTACGTAAATGTACCCATTCCTCACAATAAATAGATTCATATGCATCCAAGAAACATACTCATACAAATTTTAAGAATTTTGTGGGTAGGAGCACAAGAAACACCCGGTGACTCAAGTTCTCAGAGTTTTCTAGAAGCACTCAGAGGATGGAGGATCATGTCTGCTAAAGACAAGGGAAACTCTGAAGACATGGCCAATGGACGAGCATGGCTTATTTAAAAAAGAGAAATGAGAACCTATATCCTTCCTAAAGGGGAAACAAGAAAGACATGTAAGGGTCCCACTGCACCCAAGAGGCCTTCTTCAGCCTTTGTACTCTCTTTTGAGCATCAGCTAAAACCCAAGGAGAACATTTGGTTATCCTTGGCAATGTCACAAACAAACTGGGAGAGATGCAGAGGAACACTGACAACAGCTGCAGGAAAGGGAGGCTTGGAACCCAAAGGAAAAATAGGATAAAGATGTTGCTCTCTAGCAAGCTAAGGGAACACCTGATGCAGCGATAGTCATCAAGGCTAAAAAGGTAAGAAAAGGAGGAAGACAAGATGAAGAATTGATTGATTCTAACAGAGATTTTTTTCTCTTGCTATAAAGCATTTAACCTCCCTGTACACAACCACTCATTTTAAGGAAAAAAACCTTGAAATATAAGATGATTTAAGATTGTTTTTAAATCGTAGCTTCTTTTTAAAAATAATTATACTACTGAATGTACTGTTGTAGCAAAGTGGAACAGCTCAGCGCTATAGCCAAGTGTTAGAGGGCTGAGGCATAGCCTAGTGTTAGTGTTACAATTGGAAGAGGCAAGGATGGTCCCTAGCATAGGTGGAGAAAACCAGTTATTACACTGGTGACTCAGGGAAGTTCGTACTGGAAATCTGAGCACTCCACCAGAAATGAAAGCCTCCTTATATAGGATCTACAGGGTAGGGGAGCATGCTCACTGAAGCAGGGGGTCGGAGTTAGGGAACATTCTCACAAGGGGGCGGAGCTTAACAGAACATTCTTATAGGGGTTGGAGCCTAACAGAACATTCTTGAAGGGGTGGGGCCTAACAAAACATTCTTGGAGGGGTGGAGCCTAACAACATTCTTGTAAGGGGGTGGAGCTTAACAGAACATTCTTGTAAGGGGGTGGAGCTTAACAGAACATTCTTGTGAGGGGGTGGAGCCTAACAGAACATTCTTGTAAAGGGGTGGAGCCTAACAGAACATTCTTATGAGGGGGTGAAGCCTA